GGGTGGGTCAGGAGAGGTCTGCAGCACCATGTGGTCACCTCTGGGACAGGGATCGAACTCATGCTGAAGTGACTTTTAGCTTCTTAGTGCTGTGCTTTAACAACTACTGCGCCACCTGGGAGGGCCCAATTTTTTTTTTTTCCTAGAAGAGTTTTTCTTGCAAGTGGCTTTTGTGCCTGTGTGCAGTTTGCCCCTAGGCCACTAGGGAGGTCCATAGTCACATAATCTTTCTCACATGCCTTTCTTCCATCTTCACTGGTTTCAGTTTCCAATCAATAGCTGAACTTTGCTGTCAGATGCAGATTTTGGCCTGTGTTTCACTTTTGAGATGATTAGTAAAGATGTAAAGCAAAGCAAATTCTTTTGTCAAATCTCAATTGCCTTGCTCTTTGGTGGTCATTCTCAATATCTGGCTAGTGGTTATCAATAAATCAAGCTAAACCACTTAATTATTTTTCAAGGAAAAGTTTGAGAGAAGGCATACCTTATACCTATCACTTTTTTAGAACAGATAAAACTTTTTGTGTGACTTGTTTTTCACTTAGGTAGACTTTACTCCAGCCAACATTGATCATTTTGATGTCGCTAGTGAATTGCACATTTATTAGGGTCCTCTAAATACAATTATTTTTCCTCAGAAAGTGGATCTCTTCAGTCTGGGAATCATCTTCTTTGAGATGTCCTATCACCCCATGGTCACGGCCTCAGAAAGGATCTTTGTTCTCAACCAACTCAGAGAAGTATGTATCAGCTATTTGGAAGCATCAATTTCCTGTAACCTGAATCTTAGCTGACATCAGAATTCAATGCAGTTCATTTTCCTGGTATTTGTAATATAAAAGACACAATCCTAACTATAATTTTCAATATTTTTAGTAAATGGAAATCCACTTCTGTTTACTGACCTCTGATGTTGAGAAACTTTCCCTCATTTTGAGAATTTGACAGATTATAGTTACTTTTTAGAAATTAGTCTAAGAGATTTTAAAACAAAAGTTTTTCATGATATCAGTACATTTAGAGCATTGGGAATAGGTTCTAAAGATAATGGGTATTTAGTTCTAGAAATTAAAAATTTGCAGGTAAATAGACCCAGTATAACAATGCCTAAAGGATACTGCCATGACCAGAATTTTAAAAGGGCCTGGCAAAAATGTTAGCTGATATTTCCCCCAGTGAATTTTCCATTTGTGTTCTTGGGTTAGTTAGCACCCAACTAAAGGGACAGACATTACAATGTGTGAGGTCAAAGATTCCCATTAAGAATGGCAGTAAGCTGAAAGTAGAGAGTACCGTTTTGGTGAGGATGACTTCAAATCACATTTCCATGAGCAGGAACTAGGGAGAGCCATTCTCTTTTTGAACAGAGTGAATTTGTTAGGTTACTTCTTGAGCACTGTTAACTAAGAATCCACATATATTTTGGAAAACAGTTGCTTGTAAGCCAGTAGGATGTGGACATGTTCCTAAAATATAGAGTAAATTGATTACTGTGTTCTCACCTTGACTTGGCTTATATCCTTGCTGACGTCCCTTACTTTATCCTAAAATTTATGTTTGCTCCTTCACGTCAAGAATAACTAAACTGTCAGGTTAATGTTATGATCAAGGACTTGTTACCTAAAGAGTGAGAACTTCCTTGGTTTTTTTTTTTTTTTAGTTAATGTTTTACTCTGTATTGATGTTTTAGTTTTGTCTTTATCTGTGTTTTAATAAAGCTACTTTATCTTTATCTTTCTTTGAAACCACTCAATTTTTAAATAACTTGTCCTTAGATGAGGTGCTTTCTGTCACCTAAGCTGTTGATTAGATAAAATTTGTATTAAAATAACAAGTGGGTACTTAGAGAAGAATGGGCATTGGATTTCAAAAGGTGTCACCTTGTTCTTCCCTTGTTAGCAAATTTTCATTTCTGTATTTGATTATATTACCTCTAGTGAGTAAATGCTTTCATGATGGCAGTCTGCCAAGCACTTGCTAATTTAAATATAATATTCTTTTAGCCAGCTTCTCCTAAGTTTCCAGAAGACTTCGATGATGGAGAGCATACAAAGCAGGTAATTTTCTGTCTTTACTCTTGGGTTTTAATTACTATTTTTCTTCTTTTTCAATTAGTAATTTTCTGTCACTCATTCTCTTGTGTCCTGGGGAAAAAATATCAAAAGATGAAGCACTTAAATGTTATTAGACTTGAAATACACCATAAAATTGCCAAGGGCTGGCATAGAAAATTAACAAAGCGGCAGGGTTCTTTTATGTGGTTCACTGTGCTTTTGAAGTGCTATTTGGACCCTCAGTTTAGCTGTTGAAAAAAGAGAATGCTTTTACAGGTCATTATTAGATAAGACTTAGAACTTTAAGAAAAGAAAAACATAATATAACACTATCATTTTGTTATGTTTTGTGGTTGAAGTAACTCAGATTGTAAAGGGGAGACTAGACCAGTCTGATGATACATATTTTAAAGCAAAACATAAATAGCACATGTGTATGTGTGCATATAATGTCATAGGTTAATATTGGCTTGCAGCCAGTATGGAAGGATAATTATAGTGAATTCTCCTGGTGTGCCTTTCTTCTTAGTGTTAGATCAAAGTCTTGGTGAAGGCTTTCATGGTTAATACTATTGTTATATAGAAGTTTATTCCTTAACCTTGTTTAAATTATTAACACTGAAAACAGAAACCTAACTAGAACATATTGCATCAACTTGCTATATCTTGCTTATGTTCCTGAATAAATAAATCTCTTAACTTTTTTAGACTTTAATTTTTCTCACCTGTAAAATAAAAGATTTGAGTATGCTATACATTTGTAAATAATCACTAATATTTACATTAGTACTAACATTCTATAATTTAGTAAGTCTGACATGATGTTTATTTATGAGTATGGAGACCTATTCTGCTTCATCTATTTAATGAGTGAAGCGCTATTAGAGAAAATGTTTATTCCTTGTTCTACTTCTTCTGTTAACTGTTGGCATTTGATTGAATAGTCAGTGTTTCTGTATGTCATGAGTAAATGTTCATTTCATAACCTATGACTAGGTTAGTCTTATTTTTTCCAGATATTGGCATCTATGGGAACTTTATTAAATTGCAAAGACAAGAGCAGCTATATAAATCATTTCTCATAGTGATTGTTTTCCTATCATCACGTATCTTTGAACATTTGCATTTGGACTCTTTAAAATTGATACCACGCCCACAACAATGAAACAACAACCATGGCCACCTCCCACATCACAATCTTTGACTGAAACCAGGTAGTGTAGAAAATGCTTATAGATGAGAATAAGACTTTTTGCCATATGCAGAAGAAATAGCATAAAAAGATCTGTTTTTGCTGAATAAGTTATTGTTTTTACTAGTTGAACATAACTTTTCGTACAAGTTGTATTATGCTGGAAGGGGGAAGGCAAAAAATGTTGTATCATGTCAGTTCCTTTATTTCAGACATTAGACAAGGTAAGTGGAGGGAAAGAGATTGTATTAAACATAAATAGAAAATGCTTAATAAAGTCATCTGAAAACTTAGATTTTCTGATCTCAAATATTGCTCTAACTCTTTATTATAAATTTTAAAAATGAAGGCATCAAACAGGAACCTTTCAGATGTCTTTAGTGAATCCTTGTTTAGTGAGGCAGTAGCTATGAAGCTACAATGAATGAGTAACATAAATCAAGAAGCTTCAAAGGAAGAACATCAATATAGATAAATGGGGCAGAAAATTAAAATGAAGTAACTAATACAACTTTAAGGAGTCCAACAGCTCCACACATTAGGCATAAATGAGGCTTCTAAAGATAACTTGTTCTGTGTTCTTACTTTTTATTTTGATATGGTATTTTGTTTGTTTTGCTCCTTAGAGTTGAGTTGAAGTTTTTTGTCATTTTTGACTGTAAAAAATTTAAAGGACCATTGCCTTTTAAGAAGCACTCATTGCGGGCCCTCCCTGGTAGTGCAGTGGGTTAAAGCACAGCATTATGAAACTATCCACAGCCTCTTCAGCACGAGTTCAATCCCCAGCCAGGGACGCGACCCACATAGCACAACAGTCCTCCCCTGACCTGCCCACTGCTCCCCTCACCAGTGAATTCAGTACATCTGCCTGTTCTGTGCCCTACTCTGACTCTGGTGAATCCTCTCACCACTCCTGCCCCTCTCGCCTGTACCCCAGTTCTGTATGCATACAGGCGGCCAGAGGTGTGGGGGAGGAGTTAAGAGGATTCGCCAGAGACAGAGTGGGGAGCAGAACAGGCAGATTGATGACGTACACTGCTGAGGGGAGCAGCAGGCAAGACAGAAGTCTGTTGCACCATGTAGGTCACCGCCAGGGCTGGGGATCAACTCACACTGAAGTGGCTGTGGCTAACTTGCAGTGCTGCATCCTAACCCACTGCACCACCGGTAGGAACCTAAATAAATAAATCTTAAAAGAAGTATTCATTGCAATTTTTTAAAAAAAGTGGTACTCATGGCATTATGGCACAAGTCTGTGGCAGTAATGAAGCACTGAGGCAACATGACAGATTTTAGAAACACCTATTAAAATGCACCACCTGTAAGAACTGCGCTGTTCTTTCTTTGACCTTAGTCAGCTACTAGCTTGTCAGAGAATCCCTGAGCATCAGACATTACATCCCATCGCCACTGTGCTTCGGTTTTGTTACAGAAATCTGTTATCTCCTGGCTGTTGAACCATGATCCAGCCAAGCGGCCCACAGCCACAGAACTGCTCAAAAGCGAGCTGCTGCCCCCACCACAGATGGAGGAGTCTGAGCTGCATGAGGTGCTGCACCACACCCTAGCCAATGTGGACGGGAAGGCCTACCGCACCATGATGGCCCAGATCTTCTCCCAGCGCATCTCCCCTGCCATCGATTACACCTATGACAGTGACATACTCAAGGTGGGTGCAAGCCTTGTTTTCAAAAGAGAGTTTGAACCTGGTCCACAAAAGGATCAAGTCAGTTCCTTCTTTTTGCTGGGTTCCTTTAATACTTCCAACATAAGTCCTCGGTCTGATTTCTGTATGTACAAAATGTTTTCATATGCAGTGTTCTGGAAGGAGCCACACTTTTAATCACATCTTGGAGAAATTTCTTACCCATTCCCTTCCACCCCCCAAGAGATTAAGGAACATATTAACATATTAAATCTTAGCCCCTGGCCCAACCCTGGCAAAACCAAAAACATCCAACTAACTCATTCAGATGAGTAGTCAGTAGATCACAGTGCCTGTGACACTGCAGATCAAAATCACTTGAGGATCTCTTAAGAAAAAAATTGTTTGAAATGATACAACAAAATGTTAAAATTTGTAAAGAGGAGCAGGGGAGCCCTCCCTGGTGGTGCAGCGGGTTAAAGTGCAGCACTGCAAGCAAGCCATAGTCACTGCAGTGTGAGTTGGATCCCGGGGGCCCAGGGGTGATCCACAAGATGCAGCAGGCCTCTCCTGACCCGCCCTCTGCTCCCCTCAGCAGTGTACTTTGACAGTCGACATTTGGCCTGTTCTGCTCCTCGCTCTGTCTCTGGTGAATTCTCTCACCACCCCTGCACCTCTTGCCAGTACCCCAGTTCTGTATGCTTAAATAAATAAATCTTTAAAAAAAAAAAAATAGAGTAGTGGGGAAGTAGCAGTAAGATTTGTGGAAGATTGGTACAGATTTCAGGGGCCAAATTTTTGGCGGACTGGCAAAATTAGAAAGAAATTTGCTGAATTATAAGTAAATTTATTGGTTTTCTTTTATCTTTTTGCTGATCTATCTATATTTTCTGTCATAATATGGTATTATATTAGAAACAAGTGAAAAGGAAGCTCTTTAAAAATAAGTAAGTACCACAGAGCATCCAAGAGGTCCTGTGAATCACCTTAATTTGTGGAGGGGGTGCCTGATGTCATAGATGTTTAAGTGCTCCCCATAATCCCAAACTGTCCTCACAGAGTATGTAGTGGTGAAGAGCTTTGACTTTGAATGTAAGTGACCTTCCTTGAGGAGGACTTATAGCAAGACTTGTTCTCTTCTTGAATATATTTTAAAAGGAACTGACTTGTTGTGATCTCTTCTGTGATCCTGGGGTGAGCAGTTTAGTGCCCGTAGCATGGTAGCAAGCCACAGGTTAGTATGTTAGAGTGCCCTTTGATTAGACTGTGGTGACAACATGTTAACTGATCATATTTTAGGGCAGCTTTTCCATCCGTACAGCCAAGGCACAGCAACATGTGTGTGAAACCATCATCCGCATCTTTAAAAGACATGGTATGTCCTTTTTTTAAAAAAAATCATATTCCTTTTCAAAAGGTGTCATTTTTTCCTTTATCAGAGAGTACTGTTTAAGAATTCAAATCCAGGCCCTCCCTGGTGGCACAGTGGGAGCACAGCACTTCGAAGCTAATCCAAGCTGCAGCCGTTTCAGTGCAAGTTTGATCCCCACCCTGGAGGTGACCCACATGGCAGGGCAGACCTCTCCTGATCTGCTCGCTGCTCCCCTCAGCAGTGGACTTTGTCGATCTGCCTGTTCTGCTCCCCACTCTGTTTCTGGTGAATCCTCTTGCAACCCCTGCACTTCTGACTATTCCCAATTTCTGTATGCATAAACAAATGTCTTAAAAAAATAATTAATTTTAAAAAAAGAATTCAAGTCCAAATGTATTTTAGCTTTAAACATTTGATCTCATGTAAAAGTTACTTATTTTTACAACTCAGCTTGTTGAAAAGAAACGGATTTGAATATTATGACCTTGCTCCTGAAATAGTTGGTTGATGACTAATATAGCAGACTTAACCTGACATGATCTCCCCCTTAGTAAATTTAGAGAACTGAAGATAGACTGGTGGTGACTTCAGCAGTGCCAGCAGTAGATATTGAACGGCTGTTATTTGAAGTTTCTCCTAGAAAGAATGAGAATGTAATAATGAGTTACTTTTCCTCATTTGGCATAGGAGCTGTCCAGTTGTGTACCCCACTTCTGCTTCCCCGAAATAGGCGAGTATACGAACACAACGAGTATGCCTTGTTCATGGATCACAGTGGGATGCTGGTGATGCTTCCTTTCGACCTGCGGGTGAGGCTGGCAATGTGCTCTGACAATGCAAGGCTGTGTCTGGTCACAGGGGTGGCGTCTCTGTCAAGGGATTGTCCCTACCTATCATCTCCTGCCCTAAGTTTATATTCTACATGTCACTTTTAAGAGATATGTTCTTAGGCAGTTATCAGGGCAAGAGACTGTCAGAATTCTGTAAACGCTTGACCCCTGTACACCCACCTGCTCTTTGCACAAATGTTTACAGCCCTAGGAACCAGAACCCTGCATCACAGGTGCCATGTCTGCTCATGAAGTCTCGAGCTCTGTCGAGTGACCATCAGGTTAACCTGAGCAACTCAGACAAATGAAAGGGCTTTTCTCATTACATCCTGGCTAGAGCTTTAGTAACTTTATAATTTGTTAATGTCTAGAACACTGAATTCTTATAATAGCATGTGTCTTTGCAATTTGGGTTGCTGAAATTTGCACCTACTTTTTGTGATCCCGAAGGTTCCCTTTGGCAGCAACACTCTGACCAGTCAGTCATTCAAATGGCGGGGGTTGCTAACAGGCCCATCTGCAGCACTGTGTATGTATGAGATGGACAAGAGTTGAATAACCTTAATGTATAAAAAGCACTCCAAGTGGAGAGGTGAGCAAAGGGTATAATGAAGCAGGTCTCAGAAGAGAGGGTGCAAATCCTCCCTGGTGGGGAGTCTCAGCACTATGAAGTTCTCTGCAGCCACTGCAGCATAAATTCAATCCCGGCCAGAGAACTGACCCACATGGCACAGGAGATCTCTCCTGTCTCACCCACTGTTCCCCTCAGCAGTGTATTTCAGTCAGTCTGCCCTTTCTGCTCCCCACTCTGTCTCTGGGGAATCTTCCACCTCCCTCACCTCTGTACCCCAATTCTGTGAGCATTAAGTAAGTAAATCTTTAAAAAAGAGAGAGAGAATGAAAGTGCACAGGACTAACAAACATCTGGAAAAATTTTCAACTTAATAATAAGGAAATAAAAAGCATCAGAATAGCAAAAATATCTAAATATCCAGCAATGGCAAGGGTGTAGGAGAATAGGCACTCTTCTATATAGCTGATTAAAATGTAAATTGCTTAAGCTTTAGATTTTGCTGCACACATAATACACCCTTTGAGCCAGCTATCCTACTTTAAGGAATTTATTTAAAGAAACAAATTGGTGTATGAGTGTATGAGGGTTTCATTGCCATGTTGTAGTGGTCGAAACTGAAAGCTATACCTGCTCATCCATAGGGAAATGGTTGAATAGTTCATTATGGAGAAGGTTACATAAGCTCAAAATTCAGCTACATTTAGATAAATACATGGTTGATCTGTAGACATGTCCATAGTAGACCTCTCCTCCCTGCCCACCTGTGGCTGCTCTCTTTTTCCCTTTCCAAATAAAACTGTCCTTTTAAAAAGTAAAAAAGGCAAAAGAAATGGCCATGGTATATTATTAGTTAGAAAAAAATAGTTCCTTGAAAATATAACCCTATTTTTAATGGGGGGGGGAAGTGCACTGGACTATGGTGATGGCACACGAGTGATTTGGTGATGGGAAGCCCACAGGGATCACAACTGAAATGGGAAAAGGCACAAAACGATGTAAAAAAAACTATTTTTAAAAAAGATATATACATACATATATACATACATACATACATATATACATACATACATACCTATATATATAAACCCATTTTTATTGGGAGTAGTAAAAAATTTAAAACCAGAGTGTACATACATAGGTCCGCTGTGTTTGCACGTGTCTGGCATGTGTGAGATATAAACATGCGTGACACACATGGCCATGCATCAGCTTGTTATCATAGAGGGAGGTGTCAAAGGGGTATGGAATCCAGGTATTTTATTTTTGCATATCTACAGCATACAGCTTTTTACAAGAACATGTTTTGCTTTTTTGGCCTAAGAGAAAATGTCTCCCACAGTATTGGATTTGGCTTTTCCTTTACAGTGAATAAATTGAGTTGGGATTATTTCAAGTGAGTGGTGAATATCGGACATTTGGACTCTGTTGAAAAAGGAGAAGTACAAGCATTTACTTAGCTGTACTTAAAACTGGCTGTCTGCTCTCTAGACATCAAGAGATGAAAGTACAGATTTTTGAATGTCAGCTCTCTTTCTCTGAGCTGACATTCAAATCCAAAAAATAACCATGACTGCACCTTTGAAGATTTGACCCGTCAGTTAATACTGTAGTGTTCGATCTCTTCAGATAGTCTGACAGCAATCTTCTAAGCTGTGGATATTAGTAGGTGGTTATCAAGAACTGCTTCTAGAAGATCAATACAAAAATCAAGAAATTCACCATAAGAGATAATACCCATTTGATTATGTTATCATAAATGATGCTTTAAAAAAAATCACAGGCAAGCAAAGAACTTACACTGATTTTAATTGTCAGTTCATTTAATCAAAAGTGAATTTTCCTCCGATTTAAAAACCAAGAAGTGCCTCAATGGGTTTGATGGCAATCCCGCAGCTAGTGGTGCTCTGCACTCGGGGAGTGTCAGTACTGAGCAGTGAGCAGCTCTGAATTTACTAATTCACTGAATTGTGTACTTTAAAGCATGATAGTTAGCACATCTTGACCTTTGAAACTTTATTTTTCAGGTTCCTTTTGCAAGATACGTGGCAAGAAATAACATTTTGAATTTAAAACGGTAAGAAACAATGGGAAGTTGATTTGATACACATGAAAAAGAAAAAAAAAAGGAACAATATTTTCCTTTTGGAATCCTTCCCCTGCAAAGACTTTTTTGGTGTAAGGTATTATACTGGAATACAGTGAAAAGCCCAGCCCGAGAACCCTTTACATGATTGGGATTATTGGCAGCCTCCTCAGAAGGGCTGTAGCTATTGGGTAGGTACTTTGAAGTTCCTGCAGACCAGTCTGTGCCTTCTAAATGCCCCCATGCTACTTATCTAGAAATTTTTCACAAATTGTTGCATGAAAAAAACATTTACTTGTTTTTTTTTTAAAGGTTTATATTATGCATACAAGAATGGGGGTACAGGCCAGAGATATAGGAGTGAGAGGAATCACCAGAGACAGAGTGGGGAGCAGAACAGGCAGATCTACTGAAATACACTGCTGAGGGGAGCAGCGGTTGAAACAGGAGAGGTCTGTCATGCCATGTGGGTCGGCTCCCTGGCCAGGCATCAAACTTGTGCTGCAGTGGCAGATAGCTTCATAGTTCTGAACCCCTTGTGCCATCAGGAAGGCAGTTGTTCTATCTAGTTGTTCTAGTTGTTCTGTCTAGTTGTCCTATCTAGTTGTTCTTAATTGATGGGACAAATGACCAATGGACTGAGTGAAAACTGCAGCACAAGTAACTGAGCTAAAGCTGCTGGTAGAGAACAGAGTGAAGTCAGCAGGAATGCTGAACACTGAGCACCTCCAACACTTAGGGACAGAAAGGGATTTTCTCTATTTCAAATACCACAGAGCCAGACACCAGCTCTTTGTAAATTGGGATAGTGTTACTGTCAGCAAGATACTCCACTTTGAAGCTCATTTCTTCAGGTGAAATTTCTTTATGAGCTTTTATGCTCAGCTACAAGTGAACAACTAACAATTCTAAGGTATTGGATATCAATGTAGCTTCATTTTTATTTCAGACATTAAAAATATAACAACTAAGATTCATAGTTCAGTAGTACAAAACTAGCATTTGAAACCTAAGTTCAAGGCAAGACTGTTCCAGGGCAAATCCGCCTGTAAGCACTCTTGATCATTCCACTGATTGTTTTTTGGGTTTGTTGTTTGTTTTCGTTGTTGTTTTGTTTTTCATATTTGCTCCTTTTATTTTGTTCAGCAATCTCATACACATTTGTTTACAATAAACAATGACACTTGAAATCTGGATTTCTCTCTGTAGATACTGCATAGAACGGGTGTTCAGGCCTCGAAAATTAGACCGATTTCACCCCAAAGAACTTCTGGAATGCGCATTTGATATTGTCACCTCTACTACCAATAGCTCCCTGCCCACAGCTGAGATCATCTACATCATCTATGAAATCATCCAGGAGTTTCCAGTTCTTCAGGTTCCTTCCTATCTACCCCTCTGACAGGATCCTGCTGGATGTGGTGGGGAAAAGCAGTGACCCTAGAACTGCTGGTCAGCTTGTGCTGCCAGTGAATCACACCTTCACTAAACAACTGAAGAGCTGATTTTACTCTTGGGGTTTATCTCAGGCTCTCCCTTCTCTACCTTGACAGAAATGGGTTTTGTTTTTGTCTGTTGTGTTCTGGGGAAAAGGTATTGTTTCTTTTTCCATTTTTCCAAAAAGCAGGGAATCAGGGGAAGATTCCTAGGTTGCTTTTGACACATCCTTACCCTGCTCACAGCCCTTGGTGCCTCCCTCTGGCACCCTGCCTCAGCTCCCTTAGTTCACTTTCCATCATGTTTGCCCAGCCGATGGAGACTGCTGCTGCCCTGCGCCTTCCGCATGTGCCCTGTTCACACCCAGCACACACCCCGTGTCATGGTGTCCCCTCATCTAATAGGACTTTGCTCCACTCAGCCATGGTCCGGACCCTTTCTCCTCAGGAAACCTGTCTGTTGCCTTGCTGACTGGCCAGATCTCAGTTCTCACAGCCCTGAAAGTGAGATATCACATGCCTTTTCAGTGCAGAGCCCACGAGTCAACTTTTTTGTACACCTCACTGCATGGAGTTCAGCACACAGCCCGCAGCTCCAAATGCTCATTAATTCACTTGTGTGAACAAATTAATGACTATTCCACCAGCCTATGTTTTTAATTCATTTACTACTCAATGAAACAAGCTGCTCTTCCTCTTTGATATCTGTATGAATTCTTTCAGTCTTTTAACACAGCTGAAAGCCAAATTTTTGTTTTGTCTTAGAATTTATTTACGCATATAAGAACTGGGGTGTAAGCCAGAGATGGGGGGGGGGGTGTGAGAGGATTCACGAGGCCGAGTGGGGAATAGAACAAGCAGATCCACTGAAATACACTGCTGAGGGGAGCAGTTGGGCGAGACAGGAGAGGTCTGCTGCACCATGTGGGTCACCTCCCTGGCTGGAGATCAAACTCATGTCACAGTTGCTGCTGATAACTTGATAGTGCTGAAACTTAACCCCTGTGCCACCAGAGTTTTTTTTTTGTTTTGTTTTGTTTTTGTTTTTGTTTTAAGAATCTAATATTTCCAAAAGGAAAGAAAAATTGGAATTTTATATTGGAGAAATAGAATGCTTATGGTGCTTCTTCACATTCATTTATTATTTAGTCTTAGTTTCTTCCATCTAGTAGTGGATCGTGGGCTTGTGGTCTCTTTCATCCTTATGCTCTTCTAAAGGCCCTAATAGAGCCCCAGCAAACAGTGTGGATGCAGAGGCTGGTCAGAGACCTTGGGCACAAAGGTGTACAAGAATGCTTAGATACATGCAAAACTAGAGAAGACACAGAAGCAGGGAGAGGTGAGGGCAAACAGGTGCTGACCAAATTGGCTCGGTGTGAAAAGACTCTGGAACCAGTCTTTTTTTACTTCCAGCTTTCTCAGCTCCCAGTGCTGTGATCTTGGAAAGATTACACAGTGTCCTCCAATCAGATTCCTCTTGTGTAAAATGAGAAATAACTCAGTCATGTTAATAATTAAATAAGATGATATAGATGAAGCATTTCACTTGGCACACTAAATGCTCACTGCCACTTACCTTTTCATGTTGTCATTATTTTCAAATTCTATCTTCATAATCTTTCATACTTATAGAAGACAGTGTCTGTTATTTGAATATTATATTGTTCAAAATAAAAACCCTGCTGATTTGGAGGGGAAAAAATTCAAAATTACCTTCTGTCAGGAATAGTTTCTTAGCTGGAATGATACTGCTATCATGTGTGTTTATGTGTAGATGCTTACGAGTGCTCACATCCTGCCACGGTTTTCATATGCAGTTCTCCTTATCAGTGGAATTGGGGACATGAGTCACTATTAAAGAATTTGAATCAGAAATAACACCTGATCCTTTAGCCAGTAGTTTTTTTGTTTGTTTGTTTGTTTCAAAGATTTATTTATTTTACTGGGGTACAGGCCAGAGGTGCAGGGGCAGCGAGAGGCTTCACCAGAGACAGCGTGGGGAGCAGAACAGGCAAATCAAGGAAGTACACTGCTGAGGGGAGCAGCAGGTGGGTCAGGAGAGGTCTGCCACGCCATGTGGTCTCCTCCGGGGCAGGCGGGGATCGAACTCATGTGCAAGTGGCTTTAGTTTCTCAGTGCTGTGCTTTAACCAGCTGCGCCACCAGGGAGGGCCATTAGCTAGTAGTTTTAGTCTCATTCTCCCAGTTACATCTTTGGGAGGACATGTTTTCTGCTTGCACTGAACTTATGTTGGAGCTAAATAAATACCCATCCATCAAACTTTACTTCAGTTACAGACAGCTAGTTTGGAGGTTTTTCAGTTAGTATGGAAAAAAGGGTTCAGTTTTCTAATAATTTTTGCAATTCACATTTCCACAATGTAGAAAAGTTAACACAGTTTCAAAGATTCCCCTTTTGTTCTTCCAGAAATCTCTGGAAAGTTCAAGTTCAGAATGATAATGCATATTCCAAACAATCTTACCCATATTCTCTCAGCAGTTCCATCATTATTGGTATATTTAGCTCTTTTCCACAACATATCTTTGATTTACATTACATTAATATTTCAACTACAAGAGTCTAAAAAAAAAACAAGCTAGAAGGTAATGTGCTAAAAGTCAATCCTCCCATTAGGATGGTAAATTGGAGCTAAGATTATTGGATTGGCGATAAATTATGTACCTGTATTATGTATATAATGAAAAAAAATCAATTTTTTTTCTGTATTCTAGGAAAGAAATTACAGTATTTACCTGAACCACACCATGTTATTGAAGGCAATCCTCTTACACTGTGGAATCCCAGAAGATAAACTTAATCAAGTCTATGTTATTCTGTATGATGCTGTGGTAAGCATTTAATTACTTTCATGCTATTTTAATTCATGAGCATTTCCTTACTGATGTAACCACAAATACAATTGAGGATTTTATCTCCTTATTGCTCTAAGGTAAAATCATCAACTGAATTTAATTCAACAATTGGCAAGTACTGGTTGAGTTCCTGTTTATACTAAACTTTCCACTACTAGTCTCCTCTGCAGTGTTTAATTAAGTCTGACTTCTGATTTAGAAAAATTAGTTTATCTTTTTTAGTATTGCAAGGCAATAACATTCTTCACTAACCTACTTCTTGAGGCAAAAATTGTTCATTGGTTTTGAGACTTGCCAGTAATATAAAAAATGGTTAACCTTTATTAAGCTCCTCCTCAGGTGCCAAGCATTATTCCAAGCTCTTTACGTACATTAACTTCATCCCCACCACCAGTGCCATTATAGTCTTACTTGGAGAAGCCAGAAAAGGAGTGTTAGTATTGGGAATGAAAACCTAGGCCCTGCCCTTAATTCTTCCAACTTAACCTGTGTGTGTCAGTCAAGTCATTTATAGATCTGTAGTGGCTGGCCAGAGAGAAGCTGTTGAGCCTCTATCTTTCATGGGACTGGAGCACCAGCAGCTCCACCATCTTCTTAAATTAGCCATATCTCAGTCTCTCTATAGTGTGTGAGCAGATTCTTTATAGTCTGTGTGTTGACCCTGGAGGGGAAACTTAGAAAATTTTAATTTAGTGTTATATCGTGGTGCTGGGGTGAAGATGAATGTGTGTCTCTGCTAATTTCTTCTCATGTTAAATATTTTTATTATAAATAAGAGGCATTCAGCAGATCAGTAATAAATGTACCTGACAGTCTATGATTGAGACAGAAAAAATAGGGGAAGTTCATAGAGACTGTTTTTTATATGCTAGAAGGTTTAGGTAGCTTTTCATTCAGCAAATACACAAGGGTCCTGACTTTACTGTTTGTTTCTTTTTTTTTTTTAAGATTTATTTATTTATGCATACAAGAGCTGGGGTACAGGCCAGCAGTGTGGGGAGGTGAGAGGATTCACCAGAGACAGATAGGCAGATTGACAGAAATAAACTGCTGAGGGGAACAGTGGGTGAGACAGAAAAGAGAGAGGTCTGATGCGCCATGTGGGTCACCTCCCTGGCCTGGTTTTGAATTCATGCTGCAGAGGCTGCAGATAGTTTCATAGTGCTGTGCTTTAACACCTTGCACCACCAGGGAGGCTCCAGTGTTTGTTCCTTAATGTTTCCTTCCATTTCACAAGATATACTGCTGTTGTGTAGTGACAGAGTGTGAGACACTGGATCATTCTTTTATTACATTTATGTGGCTTTCATTAGGAGAACACATATCAGTGACTTCCTCCCTACCCAGTAGAAACACCTGGTTTGGCCTTTCCAAATCAGAGTTACCTCATGGTTCAGCAAGTGCAATTGCAAGTGCAAAGTCTTTTAAAGTCTGGGGTTTTCAAATTATAAAAGACCTTTATGTCAACTGAGAAAAACATTATTCTTTAATAACACAATTAACCTTCCATTATGCCTAGGCCCAGTTTGTTCGTAAGGCAGCACATGCTAACCAGAATTAGCCATGAAAATTGTACCTTGTTCAGCACAAAATTTGATGACTCATTGCTACCTTTTTCTCCTATTATTAGACAGAAAAACTGACGAGGAGAGAAGTGGAAGCTAAATTTTGTAACCTGTCTTTGTCTTCTAATAGTGTAAGTACCTTTTAACAGTGCTATTACAGCTTTCTCTACTTGTGTGACACCAGAAAATGTCACCAAATCCCGGCTACAGTGTGGCGGCAGCACTTCCTGTCACCTCACAGACACAGCCTTCCCCTTGAGTGTTAATGGGCACCATGGCAACCTCTGGGATCAGGGCTGGAGAGAAACCAGCTCCTGATCAAAGAATGCCTCCCCAGGCCCAGTATTAATGTGCCGCAGTCATCTTGTTCTTTCTTGATCACCGTGTACTTTCCTTTTACCTCCCTGGGGGGAGGCTGTACTTGATAGAGTCTCCTGCTGAGCAGCTCTAGTTCTCCTTGTCCTCTTCTGAAATAGACTGTTCTTCCCAGCTCCAGGCACAGTGCTGCTAATTCATTCAGGTGTCCGCCCCTCTCACCCCTCCCTTCCCACCTAGGTCTTCTAACAGCTCAGAGTTGAATTAAAGCTCTTGCTTTTCTGCTACATTTCCTACTCCTAGAATCTTTTAAACTGATCCCATTGGCAATGAAGAAAATATTTTTTTTTCTTTTTTTGCATAGAACTGGCCAGAGGTGAGAGGATTCACTAGAAACAGTGCAGAGCAGAGCAGGTGGATTTACGGAAGTATACCACTGAGGGGAGCGACAGGTGAGGCAGGAGAGGTCTGCTGTGCCACAGGGTCAGCTCCCTGACCGGGGATTGAACTCCCACTGCAGTGGCTGCTGATAGCTTCATAGTGCTGATACTCAACCCCTTAGGCCACCATGGAGGCCCAGTATAAATAAAATAAGTCTTTAAAAAAAAAATCACCTATACAGTTTGCAGGTAGGGGAAGTAGACCAGATATATAGCACTAGGAGTTTGAGAAACTAAGCTGGCTGAAATTTCCAGTGTTAAATAATGGAGGAGATATTAATGATATGCAAGGTGTCCCAGTTGCATACTATTCTAACATGAAGAACGATAATTACATAGTATACCCCATTTGTGTACACAGCATATGCATAAGTAGCACAAACTTCAGGCCCAGTTAGTTCTTGGAACAAATGTCATATTTCAGAATTATCATACACTTGCTCATGACAGTTGCCTTGATTGCTAAAATGTAAGCTTCATTTTGCTAAAGTTCTATCCACTAGTGAATTGATGGTGGCAAGCATTCATTTGAAACTCTGTTCAGTTTAAAAGGGGCTGATTAATGTCAAGTAAGGACATTTGGAACTCTAGGATATTAAAAAAGTGGTCAACATTGCAAAAGGGTTTCAAATATCTAGTCCAGCTTCTTATTTTACAGATGAAGCTTGAGGCCGAAAGAGATGTTATGATTTGTCCACAGTTACAAGAACAGTTGATGACAGGGTAAAGTCTGGATATTGACTCTTGTGCTTCAGGTAGTTTATTAAAGGGGTCATTTATTATTAACATTTAGTGAGAGGACATTGTTTTATTAGAAAAAATAACCTTAAATCAGAGGCATAATTTTAATTTTAAAGATTTTTCTCATATGTAATAGGTTCTAGTTTTTGTTTTTTTTTTTCAAAGATTTATGTATGCATACAGAACTGGGGTACAGGCCAGAGATGCAGGGGTGGTGAGCGGATCCACCAGAGACAGAGTGGGGAGCAGGACAGGCCGAGTGATGAAGTACACTGCTAAGGGGAGCAGCAGGCCAGTAAGGTCTCCTGCGCCATAGGGTCACATCTGGGGCAGGTGGGGATTGAACTCTTTCGGAAGTGGCTTTAGCTTCTTAATGCTGCGCTTTAACCCGCTGTGCCACCAGGGAGGGGCCAGATTCTAGATTCTAGATTCTAGAGGGCCCAGATTTTTTAAAACACTTTTTAGATTACTTTTACAATACAAGTGGTTTATGATTATTATATTAAACTATAGTATGCTGAGTCTTCAATTCTTACTTTCTCTTTATCAACTCATGATTGAACCAGGCTGTGCATGCCGCCAACAATCCTAAAATAGCTATAATTTTTTAAATAATTTCTACTTTCGCTCCAGGAGGCTTTCTTTCTGGTCTTATGATCACCATTATTTTCTTTTTCACCTCCTGGGAGCCAGGGAACCCAGACTCCTGACAGCCACTGCCCTCTCTTGGGGAAGATGATAGAGACTTGTGAGAACTGGGAGCGGGGATAGAGGTGTGGGCCTAAGGGAAGGAAGGGTCAAGGAGGCCGTCTGCCGGAGATGACATTCCCACTGCATCCCAAGGCTACAAACAGGAGACACAAACCAAAGGGAAAGTAGGGAATTCCTGGCTAATTCTGTGTAAGTGTTAGAACAAATCAGATCTTGCCTTCCTGTCTCCATTTGTATGCATATAGTATGGGGAATAATGAGAATGAGGAAAGTCATGCAGAATGATACTGGCCTGAAAGTACATAAAGGAGCCTCTGCTAGAGCCAGGGTCAACGTGAGTAGCTACCAGAGAGCACCCCTGCAAGGAGCCTTAGAGTTGTTAGGAAAGGGTAATTCAAAGGATTGGAGTAGAAGCCAAAATTGCCTTTGAACACAAAATCCTGCCTCTTGGAGGTATGGCACTCTGTGTGTCTCCCTGTGTGTACAAAGCAAATGCAAACTGAGTATTCCCTGCTGTGGACTGGAAGTTAACTGTGCCTCTTTGCTTTCCAGCTGTGTCGACTCTACAAATTTATTGAGCAGAAGGGCGATTTGCAAGATCTAACACCAACAATAAATTCATTAATAAAACAGAAAACAAGTGTTGCACAGTTGGTGAAGTACGGCCTGAAAGATCTAGAGGAGGTAGTTGGACTGTTGAAGAAACTTGGCGTCAAGTTACAGGTTTGGCAACTGTTTGATTCTGGCAGTACAGTTTAGTAGCAGCAATAGCACAAGAAGGAGTTGGATTTTATTTGATTAATGCTAGTGTTTTTTGTTTTGTTTTGATTTTAAAGATTTGTTTAGATATGCATACAAAACTAGGGTACAGGCCAGAGGTGCAGAGGGGGTGAGAGAATTCACCAGAGACAGAGTGGGGAGCAGAACAGGCCGACTGATGGAGTACACTGCTGAGGGAGCAGCAGGCGGGTCAGGAGAGGTCTGCTGCGCCATGTGGGTCACCTTCCTAGCCAGGGATGGAACCGGAGCGAAAACTGCTGCAGCCAGCTTCGTGGTGCTGCACTTTAACCCATTGTGCCATCAGAAAGGTCCATTAGTGTTTTATTTTTACAAAAGAACTCTGCTCTCTACATTTTGGAACCTTTGATGTCTTATAATAATTTTGGCTTATATTGGCATTTCCTTACAAGCATCGTAATTCATATTGTGCAGCAAGTCCTATGTCCTGTAGCCTCAAGAGATGGTTACTTGAAAAAAGCAAGAATTCTTGTTCGGCAGGCTGTAAACAGATTCAGGGGCAGATCTTGCTGACTATTCTGTTTATGCTTGCTAGACTGTTCTGATGCCACTGAGAGAAGACTGCTCAGCATCACAGTCCACATAATATGTGTGTGTGTGTGTGTGTGATCTCACTTTACAGGTTTTGATCAATCTGGGCTTGGTGTACAAGGTACAACAGCACAATGGGATCATCTTCCAGTTCGTGGCATTCATCAGACGGAGGCAAAGGGCTATATCGGAAATCCTTGCAGCTGGTGGCAGATACGACCTGCTGGTGAGGGCTTATTGTGACTTAGTTTCATTTCTTTCTCAATTCGTTATTTAAACATTTCTCAACCTACACAAAAATTGAGTCAGTAGAACAGACAAAACACCTGTGTATTTTTCACATAGGAAAAGAAATGTATTGTGAATCACATTTGATTTTTAGCTTTTCTCTTAAAGTGACTATAGGTTTACAGGAAGTTTGTAAATATAGCACAGAGAGATCTTGTGTACCCTTCACCCAGTTTCCTCCAGCACTTAATTTCGGCATAGCTGTAATAAAATATCCAAACCAGGAAATGGACATCAGTATACTGTCAGTGTATAATGCTGTCCATCCTCACAGGCCTGGTGGTGACATGTACTACTTCACAGGACCTTCACAGACCTTCACGGTATCCCACATTTACAAAAGTCATCTTAAGTATTTCCTCTACACACAGTGGGGTCCACGTCAAATATTAGGATTTTTACTTTGACTGTTAACCTCCAAGGCATTTGAGAAGGTCTGTTGTATTTACTCAATACTTCTGGTTTTCACAGAAGTTTACTATTTGATTGAAAGGTAATTCTTTTTAAGATTTTTTTTCTTTGTCTTTAGTTTGAAGTTTAATTAGGATATGCCATGGCATGACTTTGGGATTTTCTTAGCTTGTTGAATCTTTGGATTAGATCTTTTGCCAATGTCGGTCCTACCAAGCTGCTGGGCAGTGTCAGAGGAGATTAAATGGGAGCCAGAACTTCACGTCTGCCTAGGGGTAATGTCACTCCACCAACAATGTCGCGGAGGCTTGGGTCCCAGACTGCCACTTCCCCTTCCCAGCAGTTACATGTTACTGACTCCATGCAGCCCACACCCACTGGTGCCTGAGGCTGGTATCCTCACTCTCTAGGAGTAACGGGGCTTTCTGCCAGCTCCTCGGTCCCCCAGTCCCCTCAGCAGAGCTCCAGTGGAGGCCTTTCTCGAGCATTATTCCTTCTAATATTTTGCAATCTCATCCTCCTTTTCTGCTCCTTTTAGGACTCTGACAAAACTGTTAGCTCTTTTGTTAGGCTCTGGGACATTGTACTTTATTTACATCTACTTTCTTTGCTATTCAGATGGAGTAATTTCTTTGTTTTATCTTCAGTTTTATTCATTCTTTCCATTGTTATCACCATTCTGCTTTGGAAGGCCAATCCAATGTGTTTTTCATCTTTGGCCTCTTTGCTGAGACTTTCCTTTTTTCTTTTTTAAAGACTTATTTATTTAGGCATACAGAACTGGAGTACAGGCCAGAAGTACAGGGGCGGTGAGAGGCTTCACCAGAGAGTGGGGAGCAGAGCAGGCAGACTGACAAAGTACACTGCTAAGTCAGAAGAGGTCAGGAGAGGTCTGCTGACCATGTGGTCACCCCCAAGGTTGGGGATTGAACTCGCACTGAAGTGGCTGTGGCTAGCTTGCAGTGCTGCACCCCCAGGGAGGGCCCCCTTTTGTTTATTGATTTCAAGTCTGTGCAAAATGTTGAAGCATTTTTTTTTTAAGATTTATTTTATTTATTCATACAGAACTGGGGTACAGGCCAGAGATGCGGAGGGTGAGAGGATTCACCAGAGACAGAGTGGGGAGCAGAACAGGCAGATCAACGAAGTACACTGCTGAGAGGAGCAGTGGGCGGGTCAGGAGGGGTCTGCCCCGCCATGTGGATCGAACTCATGGGGAAGTGGCTTTAGCTTCTTAGTGTTGTGCTTTAACCTGATGCGCCACCAGGGAGGGCCCTTATGATGGTTGTTGCAAAATCCTTGTCAAGTGATCTCAACATACGGGTTATTTCAGTGTGGGTATCTGTTGAGTATCTGTCCTCATTCACTTTGAGATCTTCAGGGTTCTTGATAAAATTTATGATTTTCAGTTGTGTTCTGGGCATTTTGAGATTTATATTATGAGAGTTTGGAGTTTAACAGCCTTTTCTGGTAACTTGCAGATGGGGACAAGATGCTACCACCTTGCTACTTTGTGTTGGGTGTGGTGATCCTGGTTCCTCCCCAGGGTGGGAGAGGTGCCTTATTACTGCTTTCTACACACCTCCACTGATACTGTGGGGAGGGGCATGGGGCTGGGGGATTAGAGAGAGACCTTATTAGTCCTAGAGAGCCATGAAAGCTCCAGCTTAACCACTCAGCCCCCTCTGTTCCCATCCCAGCAGGGAGGGTGACCATATTACCGCTTGGATTAGGGGTGAAAGTCTGGAACTCTGGGGACCCTTACCTCCACTAACACTGTTTGGGAGGCAAGTGGCATTAATCCCAGGCAGATATGAAAGTCCTGGTTCTTCGAAGGTCTTCTCTGACCCCACCCTGCTGGGGCTTGTGGGGGGCTGGTGTGGGGAGGGCTCCTTACACTTGAGTGAAGGGGAACGTATAAGCCTCAACTCAACCCTTGGTGGGATGAAAGGGGGTGTGTATGTGGAGGGAATGTACTTTTGTCAGTCATGTTTGGCTGGAGCAAGGCCGGTATCATCTGGAAATTTCAGTCCTACAGGGTTGCCTCTTTCTTGGTCTTTTTGGCTGGAGAGGGCAGGCTTTTTTGTTAACATTTCAGGGTTTTTTTAGCACCCAATCCAGGATATAAAAGATCAAGACCAAACACAGGAATTTCCCACAAGTTATTCTGGGGCTAGGAAGACCTAGCCAGTCTGCTACCTTTTCTTCTTATACTTATCTTATATATAATACACAGAATATTTACCTGGACTTAGCAAGAGGAATAAGGAAAATACATCTACCTACCTTAGTACAGAAGGAGAATTTTATAATGTTTTAGTTCATCTAATAACATTAAGTGAACAGAAAAATGAAATTAACTTAAGTAATATCTATATTACTATTGCTGTAGCTTTAGTATTACTTCAACATATAGTTAACTTTTTTTTAATTATTGAGGAGCTATTTTACATTCTTTTTTCCTTTCCAATCTTTACCATCAGCTTTTATTTAACTGATTGTCCCCACAATACAAACATCTAAAAATCACTAGTGGATTATCTGCTTTTTCTTTTCTCTTTGCAGCTAGTGTGTCCGTTAGTAATACAGCACATGTCAAGCCATGTCGCCCCTATTCCAAATGCTCGGGTCCCTTGTGGCTAGTAGCTGCCACATTGAAAATGGCTGGTCTGGATCTGTCGTTTGGTCACATTTTTCTAAATTTGCCATTTGCTTCCCTCTCGCATGCTACACACACACACACACATAATTTCTTGTTGAACCCTTTGAGAAGTTGTTGATAGAACTTGCCCACAGATCATTACTTTGCCTACAGTCATATTTTCCTCTGTTTCATAACCAACACTCTGTGTCTCTCGCAGATTCCACAGTTCAGGGGACCCCAGGCTCTGGGGCCAGTTCCTACTGCCATTGGAGTCAGCATAGCTATCGACAAGATATCTGCAGCTGTGTTCAACATGGAGGAATCTGTAAGTCCCAGCTTTGTTTACCTGAGTATCCAGGATTGTTCTTTTTTGTTTTTGTTTGTAGTCACATACATGGAACCCCAGATATGGCAGCTATGAACTGAGGGCGTGGGAAACTTACTTTGCCATAATAGATATGCCTAAGACCTGATGTCAGTTCTTTCATTTCAGTCCTGGATTCTTGCTGGGGGTCTTTAAGCCACCCAAAATCAGCTTTATTGTTCCTGATCTCAACACTGTCTTTAATGCTCTCTGTAAATGTGAGATGTTCTGGTTGTTAACAGGCTTACATGAAAACCCCATGTACAGAAACCCTGTTGTAACCTAGAAATCCAGAACTGGTTCTCTATCCCCCCTTGCATTTCAGGCAAGATAAATATTACCACAGGAAAAGATGCTTCTGATAGTTTGGGGCAGTTGAAGCCACTTATATTAAAAAACAGTAATGGAAGATGGAAGATTTTGACTGTGTCTTTTTTTTTTTTTTTCCACTATGTCATTTTGAAGCAAACCCTTCTGTATATATATATATTGCTGTCCAGTACTTGGGGTTCTTGTCTTCACATGAGAGCTGCCTCCCCCTGAACTGGTTCCACCACCCCACCACCACCACCACCACACACACACACACACACACACAGTCTTACTCTTTTAAATGTAACCACATTTTTCTGATCCAGGTTACATTAAGCTCCTGTGATCTCCTTGTTGTAAGTGTGGGCCAGATGTCCATGTCCAGGGCCATCAACATAACCCAGAAACTCTGGGCAGCAGGAATCACAGCAGAAATCATGTACGACTGGTCGCAGGTAATAAGACAAAAAAAAGTCTTTGAGAGGTGTGAAAACTAGTGTGGCTTCAGTGGTCAATCACCCCAATGCCATTATTCTCAAACTGTATTTTGTGATGAATGCTGTTTCCTGTGTTAGTTTCTGGTTGCTGCAAATGACCACAAACAATGGTTTAAAACAACACAAATGTATTATCTTACATTTCTGGAATTCAGAAGTCCAAAATCATTGTCACTGGGGCTCAAGTCAAAGTGCCAGCAGGGCTAGCTCCTTTTAGAGACTTTAGGGGAGATTCCATCCTCTTGCATCCCCTGCTCCCACAAGCCTCTGCACTCCTTGGTTCATGGTCCCTTCCTCATCTTCAGACTCATTGTTGCAGCCCCTTTTCTTCTCTCTGAACTTGGCTTCCTGACATCTAATTGACCGTCCTATCACCCTCTTACAAGTACCCTCGTGTTTACAAGGCCCAGGATAATCCCCCTTGACTTAATCATGTTTGTGGAAGTTTCTTTTACCAAGTAAGATATCATAGTCACAGGTTCCGGAGATTAGGATTTGGACATCTTTGTATGGCCACCACCCAGCCTCCCACACTTCACATAGGCGTCCTGTGTTTAGAGTGTGAGGCTCTGTCTCCTCAGACCTCCTACAGCAGGCCTTAAGCTGCCCTGGGTGTGGAGTTGAGGAAAGTGGCACCCTGAACACCAGCCTGCCCTTTTGAATGGGGCCCTCAGATGAGGACTCCCCCCACACAGCAAATCAGAGTGGCCTGCACTCCCAGTTGGATACACACTCACCACACCCGAGTGCTCCAGAGCATGGGCAGATGCCTAGGGAAAGCTCCACCCCTTCCTGTCACATCACCTGCCCAGAGGGTTCTGAAGTTGCTGCTGTTCATTTTGGTGTGTTACATAAATTCATGTCAGAGTATGATTACTTACTTGACAGAGTGGTATCCTCTTCCATTGTCTCGTAAATTAAGAGAATGTCTGTCTTGTGACAAAGTAGAACCCAGAAATGGTGACTTCGATTCTGTACAGGCCTCTCTGCTTTGTGGCTGCTTTGCCTTATGCTTCAATTTTGTTTGTCGCCTTCTACCATTTGTTACCTTTGTTTTCCTCAATGACCTTTTCACTCGTGTGTGTGGGTGTGGGGGGGGGGAGGAAGGGAGAGGGAAAGTGAGAGGTGGGGGGGATATGACCCTCCCTCCAGACTGAAGCTTTTAAAAACCTCTTCCTGTATTCTGAGCACCCTGTCTGTCCATGGTCCCTTAGAACAATAATGAAAGTAATCAAGGGAGGTCTTATTCCTCCCTTGTATTCTATACTCTCCCTGCTTAGTGTGTATAACCTCTAAAGTCAGCGTATTTGGTAATCCACTTTGAAAACATAGTTTTTATTCCCTTTAATTACTTCAAGCTGCTCTAGATGCTTTTAGTTCATACTGTGTTTATTTGTTTCAGTCCCAAGAAGAATTACAGGAGTACTGCAGACATCATGAAATCACCTATGTGGCCCTCGTCTCAGACAAAGAAGGAAGCCATGTCAAGGTAAAGAATGTAGGAACTCTCATAATTCAGCAGTCAGATCCCCATACTGTGCTTAACTTCCCCTGAAGTCCTGGCCTTGGGTGTGGGTGGAAATCTGTTACTTCACTTTTCCTTTGATTCACTGGGCCTATTATTGAAGAAAATCTATAGAATGAATCAGAATCTAAATCTAAACACTGTTCTTCAAGCTTAAATTTAAACAAACAAACAACAAAAAACAAAAAAACACCTCTGGCTATAGTTTTTTCCTTTCCTCCACTTGTTCGAAGAAAATCTGGAAAATTCCTTTGTGTTGAGCCACGTACCATTCTCTTCTGACTGGTTTGCTGCAATATGAATATAATGTCCTTTGGTGGGTTATCTTCTGTGGCCTATAAATTCATAGTTTTAATCACATTTGGAAAATTTTCAGACATTATTTCTTCAGGTATTTTTCTCTCCCTTCTCCTTTCCTTCTGGGACTCTGATTACAGTCTGATAATCATTTGATACTGCCCTACAGCTCATTTTGCTTTTTTAGTTTTGTCCTTCCCCCAAATGCCCCATTTTTATTCTGGATTATTCAATAATCTCTTCTGCTTTTAATCACACTCAGGACATTTCATTTCAGATATTGAATATTTTCATCTAGACATTTTTTATTTTTTTATATCTTCTATTTTTCTGTTCATTGCTCTTATTTTCTTTACATCCTTTATAAGACCTATAAATTACTTTAAGGTACTTGGGCATTAATTCTATCAACTCCAGCATCTTTGGGTCTCTTTAACTATTGATGTGTCTCCTGGTTATGACTCATTTTCTTAACAGTCTGCATGCTTTTATTTTTTAATTGGTTGTTGAATATAACAAATTTCACATTTGGGGGCACTGGGTGTCATATGTTCCTATAAATACTGGTGGGTTTTGTTCTGAATCCTTTCCAGACTTGATTTTAAGCTTTTTTAGGGCAGGTCCATAGTAGCCTTTAGCCTTGGTCTAATCTAGTTCCACTCTATGGCCGATCCTGCCTGACACCCTATGTATTATGTGTGGGGTCGCTCTAATCTGGCAAGAGCAAGAACTCTTCCCAACCTGTGTGTTCCAGAAATTATTTGCCTAGTCCTTTCTGGTGGTTGTTTCCCCAGCCTTGGTTTGATCACTGTCACTTATGCTCAGATCATTTTTTTCCCCAAGGTAAATGGACTCCTTTGCAGAGCTTCAGAAATGCTTTTCTCAGTTTGTAGTTCTCCCTCTTGCCTTCTCTGCCCCATGGTTTCTGGCCATCTTGGCTCCCCTTCCTGCACTCTAGGGCTCCTTTGCCTCCCTTGTGTCTGCTGCTTGTTGGCCAGTGTCCAGGAGCCATTGTTCTTATGATTTGTGACATTTTCTAGCAGTTTAAGGCAGTTCTTGTCGGAGTTAATTCTTCATGAGCTAATTTGAAAGTCCCCACTACTTAATAGTCATTAAACCCTCAGTGCCTCTGAACAAGCCTCTTCCAAGCAATATCTGCTGGCGCAGTATTGCCAAGAGACAACTTTCTAGCATCTGCTTGGTGATTCTAACACCATAACAGTGCTACAATGCTTTGCAAATTTTAAAAATTTGAATCACAATCGGCTTCCCAAAATTTACACTCCAGGGTACTAATTATGCCTCTGCAGTTGTCAGAATGCAGCTGTCTAAATTCTTCCTCCTTTCAGCTACCTTCAAATAAATTTTAGGAGACAGCTACCATGCTACTTTTTATCTTCTTTTCTGAATTAAACATTCTAGTTACTTAGGCCATTCTTGCTAACATGGTTTTCAAATCCTTGACCCTCCTGGTTAGTCTTCTCTAGACACATTCAACTTTGTCAATGTCTGTATTTAAATGTGATACTACAGTTCTAAGTATGAGCTCTAAGTTATATTTTGACTAAATGTGAAAGATCTCTGACCTTCCTTAATTTAGATACCATAATTGTCGTAATATAATTAAATTAGCTCCTAGCAACCATGTGGCTCTCTGGCTCACACCAAACTATCATCCACTAAACCCCTTTGGCCTTTTCATAGTACTCTCCATGTCTGGTTGGTCTTATACAATGAGGGTTTTAACCACAGCATTTTATCTTTATCATTGTTAACATATGATCTTGTTCATTTTTGTACATCATTCTAGACTGTCAGCTCTCTTTTTAAAAAAAATTTATTTATGCATACAAGAACTGGGGTAGAGGCCAGAGTTGTGGAAGACAAGAGGGTTCACAGAAGACAAAGGGGGAACAGAACAGGCAGATCTACTGGCATACACTGCCAAGGAAGCAGCGGGTGAGACAGAGGTCTGCTGTGCCATGTGGGTCACCTCCCTGGCTGGAGTTCAAACTCTTGCTGCGGTGGCCACACACAGCTTCATAGTGCTGTGCTTTCACCCGCTGCGCACCAGGTCAGCTCTTTGACTCTTGCTTCTGCCTCTATTAATGGGAGGTCAATAGCCTCATCTTCACATTTTTAGAGCAAGACATCATTCATCCATTCACCAGGTGAACTTTGGATCATGAAGTTGATAATCTGGTAGGCTATCTCATGTTATATGCCATGAGAACCCTACAGGGAAAGTCCTGGTGAAGGTTCATCATCCTGGAAGAATATTTCAGAGGTAGCAGGAAAGTCTTCAGGATGGAGGTAGTAGGGGTTTATGCTAGACCCTCGGAGATGGGCAGGATATAATTATGTGCTGAAAGGGCCTCTAAGCGGAAGAATAGCAGTAGATTGTTCTAAAGAGAGCGTAGGCCCACATACACTGACTCTAATATGCCTCTGAATAGTCTGTTTGGGTAAAGCAGAAAGAGAATGAAAAAGCATGGTTCCATAGGAGAGAATGGCTCTGGTTAGATCATAGAGCCAAAATGCCCAACCAAGGCATTTGGACTTTATTTAGCAGCTAGTGGGGAACCAGGACAAAAGGAGTTATCCAAATTATACTTGAGAAAAATTAACTGCAGAGACATATGGCATGGAATGGAGTATGGGAAAATGAAAGAGTTAGCAGCCTGAGGAGTGTCATTTATCCCACACCAAGGCTGGATGCTGGCCATGAGAATGAAGATAGCATAAAAGTGAGGTAACAGGACTTGGGTTTGAAAAGGAGGGGAGTTGTAGAAAGCATGGTGACTGACCAGAGGGAGATTTAAGGGGAATAGTGTGTGAATCAAATGAAATAGCAGCTGGTTCATCTTGTCTTTTTTTTTTTTTTAATTCTATTAATATATGGCAAATGATTCTAATCCAGACAGGGCTTCTCAGCAGCTGCTTTTGACACTTCGAGCCACTTAATTCTTTATTGTGAGAGCCTGATTTGTGCATTGTAACATTTACCAGCATCTGGAGCCTCTCCCCAGTAGTTGCCAGTAGCCACAGTTGTCACAACCAAACGTGTCTCTAAACAGTCCACAAGGAGCGATACAGCCTCTGGCTAAGAACTACCAACTTAAACTGTGGACTTAATAGGTTTACTGTAGTACTTTGATTCAGTTTACTGACATCAAAATAATGGAGATCCATTTTATTCTTTTCAAGGTTAAGTCTTTTGAGAAGGAAAGGCAAACAGAGAAACGTGTGCTAGAGTCTGATCTTGTCGACCACGTTGTGCAGAAACTAAGGATCAAAGTCAGTGATGAAAAGACTAGCAGGTAACATTGAACAAAAGCCTCCCTCTGCACCCCTACACACACACAAAAAAAACCAGCTGCAACTGTCTCTATATTTTTTTAAAGATTGTATGTATATATGCAAGAACTGGATGACCGGCCAGCAGTGTACGGGAGAGGGAACTCACCAGAGACAGAACGGGGAGCAGAACAGGCAGACTGACTGAAATATACTGCTGAGGGGAGCAGCAGGCAGTCAGGAGAGGTCTGCTGTGCCATGTGGGTCAGCTCCCCAGCCGTGGCTCGAACTCATGCTGCAGAGGTTGGGATGGCTTCATAGCACTGCACTTTAATCATTGCGCCACCAGGGAGACCACTGACTACATTTTAAGTCAATTTGATCCTTTTGAGATATAAGGTAGGTCAGCGTAATTTCCAATGAACCATTCTGCTGCTTCTGAAAACCCAGACATTAAGCCCCTGTGTAAGACTGGCTATGTCCTACTTTCATCATAACATACCAAAGAATATTTTAGCATATTGAAAAGCCTAGAGGGCCAAAATCTATCTGCCTTTATCTTAGTCTGTTAATCAGTGAATTTTGCTAGTATTTTGTCAATGTATAAAAGATTGATGTGTTCTGGGAACAGACCTCATATACTCAAGATAGGAATGTAAATTGGTTCAATTATGTGAACAGGGGTTTAACAAAGTAAGTAAAGCCTTAAACTAAAAATAAAAAATAGACCCCAAAAGTCCACTTTCAGGAATATATATTAAAACATTCCATAGGGATGGATACAAAAGGATATATATCAAGGCAGAACCCCTCTATACCTTTAAAAATTATTTGAGAACCACAAAGAGCTTTGTTTATGTGGGTTATATAATTGTTAAGTAAACATAAGCATAAAAATATTTTAAAATAACAACAATAAACTCTTGATATGCCAACCTAAGTAAAATTATTTTTAATTGGATCTAACTTTATTTTCTGAAACAAGAGTGGCAGTTTCTCATTTTTGCAGTTATCATTAACACATTTTTTTAAAAACCTTTTCTTTTTTTATATTTGTTTATGCATATAGAAACTGGGGTGTAGGCCAGAGGTGGAGGGGGGTTGAGAGGATTCACCAGAGACAGAGTGTGGAGCAGAAAGGCATATCTACTGAAATACACTACTAAGGGGAGCAGTGGATGAGACAGGAGATGTCTGCTGCACCTTGTAGCTCCCTGGCCAGCTGGGAATAGAACTCGTGCTGCAGTGGAATTCAGTGCTGCAGTTACTGGTGATAGTGCTTGTTAGTGCTGTCTTTGACTAATGGGCCACCACGGAGGCCCCTCATTAATATATTTTTTTGTGATCCCTTTAATGCCTTAACAGAAGAAACCGTCAGTCATATCTGCTTCTATATTCAATATGTTGTAATACCATAGATTGTGGGAAATCTGATTGTATATTCAGGAAAAAATGAGAGCAAAAAGGATAGTTAATGTTTTAGGATTATGAAAATAGTTTTGTCTTGCTTAATGTTTTAGGATTATGAAAATAGTTTTGTCTTTGCAGAACTTCTGTAAAAGGATGTCAGGAACCTCCAGGTGTTCCTGGACCACACTAGCTTGTCTGAATTATGGTAAATCCAATGAAATACATGCTGACTTTAAATTTAAAGCTGAATTTATTGTCATGGAAGGATATCTACAAATAGGATGTATAGTATGATCCCGTTTTTTTTTTTTTTAACCAAGCCATACAGCTAATACATAGAAAAATGTTTTAAGTGATAACACCAAATTTTTAATTGCAGTTATTTCTGTTTAGTGGGATTATAAAGGATTTTCATTTTCTTTAAGCTTGTCTATATATTTGCAACTCTTATAATAGGCTCCTAAACAGAAAATATGAAACAGCCTACTCTTTTCAACTTGTATTGGTATTTCTCAGCTACAGCAGTTTTCTGTCAGGGGACATTTGGCAATGTTTGGGGACATTTTTTGCTTATAGATATCTAGTACAGGCCATTGATAGTGCTAAACATCCCACTATACGCAATACTCACCACTGTCCCCCTCTCCCCATCCCAACAAATAATTATCTGGCCCTGCCCCTTCCTATCTGCCCCCAGTTTGAATAAAATTCACCATCAGGCTTTTTCTGAAAGAATATAATGTTCTTAAAGTCCCCAGATATTAGAATTACAATCCAACTCAAAGTCTGAGGCTTAGAAAACAAAAAAATATATAGTTAAATGATTAATAGCAAACACAGATGAATGTTATTAAAACACTTAAGGACAGGTGGGATTTAGTTTTAGCAGAGAAAGGTTTAAAATCTTTCCTCAATGTGAATGGTTATTACCCTCTTTTCCCATAGAGTGCTATTGTGTCTCTCAAAGCCAATAAATTAATTCTGTCTTTGAAAAGAACATCCATTCATAGCCTTTGAAAAAATCTCCTTATTTACGAGATGTTCTCCTGTGGGTGATAGCCAAGTTTGCTGCCATAATGAAGGTGGGGCTTGCTGGAGCTAATGTTTCCTCCTATTGTGAGGGGAGCGGAAGGAACACCCATTATATTTCATTGGAATTAGCTTCTTATGTTGAACCAGGATTGCAGACCCAGCTGAAGAAATGAAGAATGCTGTCTTTAAGCATATGTTAATACGAAATGGCATCCTTTATCATATTTACTTGCTCTTAATCAAAAGCATAAAAAGTACAATTTTTTGTTTTTTCCTCTAATGTTCAATATTTATTAAATATCTTTATATTTCATTTTAAAAAATGGCTCACTATAAATGTAGCTCACTATAACTTATCTTTGTTGCTTTTGCCTTACTGATTTCTAGTTGTTTTTTGTTTGCTTGTTTTTAGAGAAGCTTCCGATAATCTTGCAGTGCAAAATCTGAAGGGATCATCTTCTAATGCTTCAGGTATAATTACTAATAATCTGAACTTATTAATGCCTATGTCACTTAAGTTTGCTCTAAGCATCTAATTCCTTGTTGCAGCAGAAATAATTTTTCAAGTAACATATACGGTATAAATTATACCAAATGGAACTTACCCCTGTCTGTGCTTTGAAATCCACAAGCTAGGAGATGATAAAGCTACACGGAGTTTGGTGTCTTCTGATTTTGGTGTCTTACTATGTTGTGCTTTAGCTTCCTTCAACTCAAGTTTATTTGAATAGGTTTAAATATGAGTAATTGTAGTGAAAAAGTTCCCCTTTCAGAAGACAGTATTTTTAAATCCTTGGGAGAAAGGTACTACATACACTTGTTTTTCTGAAGATCAAGAAGGAACAGTGGTGGTAGTTCTTCCACCTTTAGTTTCATCATATCTAGCAGCCTTCCTCAAGGGCCCCAGACATATCTGGCTTTTAATGGAATTGGATCTTCTGGGTTTGTTTCTATTAGCCTTGATTTTCTGCCATCATCAGATTTCAGAAACTTAAAGGTATATTCGAGTTTGAGCGATATTAAATTTGAGGTTTTGGAGATTCGTATTTTGCCTCCCTATACCTTTGTCTCCTCCACTTGAGCAGTCTGCTGGTCTTGACAGCAGCACCAAAACTGCTGAGCGCTGGGGGTTTGGGGCTCCTCCTGGTTAAACATAGCCTAGCAAAGCACAGATCTAATCTAGCTCCTAGAATCACACTAAAGTAAATTCTAATTATCTCCACTGTCTCTGCTGTGTTTTATAGAAAATGGGTCTTAGATAAGAACATAAATTCTAAATATCTCTGTCTCAGGTCTGTTTGAAATCCATGGAGCAACCGTTGTTCCCATTGTGAGTGTAATCGCCCCAGAGAAGCTGTCAGCCAGCGTTAGGAAGCGGTATGAAACTCAGGTACAGTTTCCTTTGTATTTTAATGTGAGCTTAGCAAGAGGAAGAAAACAGGAAAAGTAAAAATGTAAGAACAGTTTCCTGAAAGTAAATTTCTCTCCACTTAACTTTTTTAACTGAGTGGCTCCTGAAATTTTTGTCCACACAAAGCATCTCTCTGATGCTAGAATTATGCACCATCTGTGTCCAAAGCAGCTTATTCTAGGTGCACCTAAAAGCATCTAAAAGCAGCTATCATCAGAATTACAGGACCTAAACAATAACTTTGACCTGGCTCTAGGGGCAGATGGGTTTGCTTTGTTTTAAATAACAAAGCAGAAGAGACTGCAGTACTTAAATGGCTTTCCCATCACATGGGTGTTTTTGGATCTGCTGTATGTCTGATTGCATGCTGAGTGCTGTGGAAAATATAAAAAACAAGTGACACAGTTCCAATCTTCAGAGTTATTATAACCTGACAGGCATAAGTATTGTATAGTTAGCTGGAAAACAATAAAAACATGTAAGAGAATGCTGAATTAAATGGTATTGTGTGCTACAGACATAAGGGGAAGTGAGCAGTCAGTGTTTACATGAATTAAGAAAAAAAATTTCATGGAGGCCATCCAGAAGGATTAAATTTGGTGGAGGGACAGATTAGGGTATGCCCAGGATGACAGAAGGGCACTCCAGACAGTGCTGAAGAGCACTGTCTGAAGAGCACTGTCTGCTGGCCTTGGTTGGGGAAAGAGTGAATGTTAGGTGGGTCATTATTTAGAAATAAAATTAGATGAAAATAGTTTTGATAACTGTTTCCCAGGATGTTGGGTAGAATCTCATTTGTTACATCATTTTACTGCTTTCATCACTGCATTTCAGTGCCATGTCACTTCATTGCTGTCACCTCCCCCTTTTGAGCTTCATAATACACTTCCAGCTGCACTTCATCACTGCACTGAGCTCTTCTTTAAGTGATAAAGAAATATAGTAGGTGGCTTATTAAATGGGTAAGATAGGCTATAAACTCATTTCCCCTGAGCTCGTAGTAGGATACACATTTTGAGGTGGATTAAGAGCAAATCCTGAGATCTTTAGAATCTTTTGTAGGCTAGTTTGCTTCCTAGAACAGGAAATAAAACTAAGAAAGGTGACCTGGTTTGACACATTCTAAATTCTGACATGTTCTCTTCTTGCTAGGTGCAAACCCGACTTCAGACTTCCCTTGCCAACCTGCATCAGAAAAGCAATGAAATTGAAATTTTGGCTGTAAGTGACTATTATTTTAAAGAGCAATAATTCCGTATAGAAAACCATTATTAGAATTCAAGCTTGTCACTAATATTAGCCATGTATAATCTAAATCTTTTAAAGAACTGGAGAGAAAATTGACAGGTTTTTTGTTTCTACTGCTTTCTTCTTTAAAGTGGAGGGTGGAAATGAAAAAATTCATCTTTCTAAATGAAAGATGTACCTTTACCTCACCAAACCAAGAACAAGTTTAGGTGTAGCATGTGGACTGGGAGTTTGAGTTTGCCAATGCTGGTATTTCACCTCTGCACAGTTCACTAAGTCTTTTATCACTAAGTCTTTTATATAGCACAGTAACAGCCCAGACCCTGCCAGCCCTATTTAGCTTGCTCCGTCCAATGTGACACAATAATCACAAACCAATATGTGCTGCCTGAGAATCCTGACAGGTGACATACATTTCTGTGTATCAACAGGTGGATCTACCCAAAGAAACAATCTTACAGTTTTTATTATTAGAGGTAAGAGATGAGCTCTTCTGCACTTTAAAACCCCAAAGATTTGCTTTTCATTTGTCAGAGTATTAAAATGGCATTTTCTCAAATATACTGAAGAATGTTTCTGGCAGTGCCAAGAATTTAGTAACATTGTTCTGTTTATGTGACAAGATAAAATCATTCTTTTCTAGTGACTTTTTAGAGATACATTAGTAAACACCTATGTTTTTACTGTGTGTTATTTAGGCTCTGGAGTTCTTGGTTCTGAGCCTTTTACAAATATTAACTCATTTAATTATAACAACCCCAAGAAGGGACCATTATTAAGCCTATTTTACAGATAATGAAAGCAGAGACTGAATATATTACCCAGTCACCCAATTAATAAGTAGCAGGCTCAGGGCCTGAAGTAGGCAAACTAGTGGAGTATGTTCTTAGGCCCTGTCCTGTCCTATTCTGCCTCAAACCAACCATCCCAGTTAAAGAAACACACTTGTATAATTAGAATTGTATAAAAGGCCTTTGTGTTAAAATTAGTTTAGACTTTTCCTATGCTTTTTTTAAATAATGGGTACATATTATTGAATAACCTAGCAAGAACTTTTTTAAGGTTTGAATTGTTACCTTTGCCATTAAGGCTTAACTATCCAAGCTACAAGGGCTTTTTGCAGTATGTCCTACCAATATTTGCCTACCTATAGTTTTCAGTCAGTTTAAATGAAAAATTGAACTTTGCTCCTGAACATTTCATACCACATTTTCTGTTGTGGGCTTATAAGTACATACCACTGTTCTCAAAATTTACTGCTTTGTGATCCATGCAAATGGGTACATACCAGAGTAGCCTCTCCAGATTGCACAGAGTAAACAAGAGGCAGAAATAACTGGTTCAAAGCCACATTAGCATCCTGGCGCTGCAGCATTGTTAATCAGGTTCTGATGAGGTAGTTCTGTTTTAAAGAAAACCAGCACTTCAAAGGAAGAACCCCAGCAATCTCTCTGCATTCTTATTTCTTTTCACATTTTGAAGGGGGGAGGAAAGCACTGACATTTCATTATGTGACCAAAGAGAGTTAATAAAGCCTAGTACCTGCTGTTAAGGCTTATTTGCTTTTTTCCTAGTGGGATGCTGACGAACAGGCATTTAACACAACTGTGAAGCAGCTGCTTTCACGCCTGCCAAAGCAACGATACCTCAAGTCAGTCTGTGACGAAATTTATAACATCAAAGTAGAAAAAAAGTAAGTTATCAATTAGGCATTGGTTTCACATGGATTAAAATTCAGGCAAGAGTTTTAGAATGACACATATTTTTCTTGGTAAGGTTTGGCTAATAAGCTATTTAAGTTAAAACTGCATTGGCAACCAGTAAATCTTGCTCAGGATTGTGACCCAGCCATGAGCTTGTCAGGAACAAAACAGTTACAGAAGCTTTCCAAATTATAATTTTATTTGCCCAGACACTCACTTCTAGAAATGTTTAAATGAAAGAAGACATGATTATCTTTATGTCCTCATATCAGAATGCCAATCTTTCATGTTATCATCTGCTGTAAAGCTACTGTAAAAAGACAACAAAGCCTGTGAGGTGAATAGTGGTCTCTTTATGGAGAGCCTTGTACATCGACTCCTAGCAATTAGTTACCACTTCTCTAAAACATCTATGTTAGTAAGTAGTCTTTCACTTGTTTTTGATTGTAAACAAAGTTCCAATAGTTAAATGTTCTAAAACTAACTTTCATAAACTCAATTCTTCACCCATGCCAACTGTTTCTCTTTTGCAGGGTGTCTGTGCTGTTCCTGTACAGCTACAGAGATGACTACTACAGAATCTTATTTTAATCCTAAAGAACTGTCCTTACATTGTTTGGACAGAAGCTGATATTATAAAGTGTACATTCATTGTAATTTTTAAATTAACTTTACATTCTAAGAAACTGTTCTTCAGAGTTGAAGAACAGAGTTTGTCATTTTTTTCATGTATAGTACATTGTAAATTTATCTTTTTAAAATAATAAATGCTTCCATATATCTCCTGCCTTTTAATTGCATTATTTATTAACGCTATAGGTTTTATGAATCTGGAACACAAGAAAATAGTCTTGTTCTTTCCTTAACCCTAGTGCCTAAACACAGGACAATATCCAAAATAAAGGTATAAAGAAACCAAGTATCACCATTAACTTGGAATCTTTATTCTCAAGGATTTTTAAATATGCACATCCTAAATTAGTTTAAAAAAGCAAATACTCATATTTGGTTATGAGAAATTCAAGGTGCTAAAGGACTATGGTAATAAAATTATACAGCCATTTCACTGGGGCAGAATATCCAAGAGATACTTCAACTTTTTATAAAATTGTCAAGTTTCAGTTCCAATGCCCTAGAGAAGATCAGGCTAAAGCTTGTTCAGGATCTCATCAGTCCAAAATTAGTAGTCATTGCCAGAAATGATTAATTTGAGATGGGGAAAAGAACAAAGAGATGCTCGGTGTTGATAAACAGGTTTAATGATGACAATGCTCTTTACATGGATGGCTAAAGAAACTTTAAACTATAATCTAGGAATTTACAATCATGCAAAAGAGATAAGTTAGCCAACTACAATAAAGTGGCTTCTTACAACTATCCTGTAAACACAGAAGCCTTCTTTCATCCAGAATAACTCTTATTTCACATGAGGATAGTTACTTGGGGGGACCAGCGATCTAGCTTTGTGGCCAAAAGGAAAACGGCAATTCAGTGGTTAACTGGTGAGAGCTGGAAGCGGGCTGCCCTTCACTGTGCTGCTTTGGTCTTCTTGCTCTTGCTCTTTTTGTCCCTCTTCTTCAGACCATCCATGTTAGCTCTCAAAAGGTTTGAATAAGCCTAAAAGACACAGAGCACAGCCTTAATGGAAAGCCGCCAATTCATGGGGTACTGCCCCATAAAACATGTTTCCATAGTAGATTTAGGGTAGCCAAAATCTGAACGCCTACCTGATAAAAAAAATAGAAGTCCATGCGATGCTTGAAAGGCCATAAAAGGAAAACACTCCCAGTACAATAACTTCCAAACATATAACCTTCCAGTAAGTTGCAGGTATTAAAATAAGCAATTGGGAAAATTGCAGGCAACTTTCTGTTAAACTCTACTATAGGTAGAGCATCTATGAAGCCTAAGATGACTAACTGAGAAAACTAAAAATATTAATCAACTTTTACTTACAAAATGTTGGTAAAACATAGGAGAGCAGTGAACCTAAGTATCAATGTCAACCTAGAGTTCAATATTGTTAACTCCTGTCCTAAGAATAGGAACATAGAAAACATTAGAAACTCACCATCTGAAACCTATTCACTTCTTTGGAGCTCACCTGGAAAAGGGGGGAGAAAAAGAGTTCAACCTTTATTACCCATATAGGAATCCTCTGCCTCCAGATGATACCTCTGTATCCAGATGATAACTCAAAAGCCTCACAACAACAATGTATTTCTTCCCAATTTCAGAGATCATGATCCACAAAAGGCTACTTTTATACTGCATTTTCCTCTGCTTGATGAACAAGTAAAGTAGTTCTTTCCACATGAGAAATGGCACCACGATGGAAAAGAAGCCGGAAGTGGGCTCCAAGAAGCAGCTGTTTCTCAGCTTTACAGAAATCTCTCACATATGGCAATGAGGTTATTTCCCTAGGTTCTGAGAGATATCAAAGAGTCCGACTCTCTTAAGTACCAACCCGTGTTTGCTACATGAATCACAAATATGTCAGAATATTAGCTTAAAAAGTAAAAGCATCAGGCCCTCCCTGGTGGTGCAGCGGGTTAAAGCACTGCACTGAGAAACTAAAGCCACTTCCTCATAAGTTCGATTCCTGCCTGCCCCGGAGGTGACCACATGGCTTGGCAGACCTCTCCTGACCTGCCCGCTGCTCCCCTCAGCAGTGTACTTCCTCGATCTGCCTGTTCTGCTCCCCACTCTGTCTCTGGTGAAGCCTCTCACCACCCCTGAGCCCCTGGCCTGTACCCCAGTTCTGTATGTACAAATAAATAAATCTTTAAAAAATAAAAGCATCATGTACTACCAAGAAACTTCTTTGAAAATCCAGCACAGTAAAGGGAAATGAATCAAATATGCTAATTGCCTCCTACAGTGCCATTAAGAGTAAGACCCTGCATTACAATTGAGATGAAAAAAGAAAACGTACAAAATGATGTACAAATAAACATATTATAAAAAATAATAATAAAATAATTTTTTTTTTTAAAAAAAGAGTAAGGACCCTGCGCCACCCTAGTGGCACAGGGGTAAAAATCAGTACTCTCAAGCTGTCACCAACCACTGAGGCAGGGTTTTGATCCCCAGCCAGGGGAAGTACTTGCCCACAAGGCACAACAGACCTCTCCTGTCTCCCCACTCTCCCCTCAGCAGTGTATGTCGATGGATCCACCTGTTCTGCTCCCCACCCTGTCTCAGGAAATCCTCTCATCCCCTGCACCTCTGGCCTGTACCCCAGTTCTTGTATCCATCGATAAACAAAAAATAAATCTTAAAAAAAAAGATTAAGGGCCAATGTTAATTTTATCTCCACCAAAAAACAAACAAAAAACCCACCTCATTCATCTCTTGATCCAGTGGATCAAAGAAATTAAAGAGAAAATACAAAAAATTTCTTGAGACAGGATAATGGAAACACAGCATACTAGAACTTAAGAAAACAACAACAGCTCTAAGCAATAAACACCTACTTTAAGAAGCAAGAAAGATCCCAAATATCCTAATGCTGTACCTTAAAGTAATAGAAAAAGAACAAACTGAGCCGAAAGTCAGCAGAAGAATGGGGATAATACAAAGATTAGAATAGAAATGAGACAGAAAAACAGATAAAAAAAGATAGTTTAACTGGGCTTCCCTGGTGGTGTAGGGGTTAGTCTCACAGTACTATCACCCTCATGACCTGTCTGAGTTTAATCCCCAGAAAGGGAACTGACCCTTATGGTACAACAGACCTCTCCTGTTTTCACCTGCTGCTCCCCATAGCAATGTATTTCACTAAATCCACCTGCTCTGCACCCCACTCTCTGGTGAACCCTCTCACCCCTACACCTCTGGTCTATACTTCAGTTCTTCTATGCAAAAATAACAAATAAATAAATCTTAAAACACACAAACAACAAAGCAAAAGCTATGTTAAGCAAAAAACAGACAAAAGTATCCAAATCAACAAAGTTATAAATGAAAAAGGAGACATTATAACTGACACTACAAAAATTCAAAGGATCACTGGATAAACCAGAAAAAAATGGAAAAATTCTTAGAAACATACAATTTACCAAGGCTGAATCAGGAAGAATTACAAAATCTAAATAGACCAATTGTTAGTAAGGAAATTAAATCAGTAATCAAAAATCTCCCAACAAAGAAAAGTCCAGGACCAGATGGATTTGCTGGTGTAGTTTACCAAACATTTAAAGAATTAACACCAATTCTCCTTACTCTTCTAAAAAAAGAAAAGAGAAAAGTGTCCCAAATTCAGCATTATCCTGACTGAAAAATATGGAAAAGGAAACTACAGTCCAAAATTCATAATGAATAGCCAACAATTACCTATTAAAATACGAGCAAATCAAGTTCAGTGACACATTAAGACTTTTTCATACTATCAAGTGAAATCTATTCCTGAGATGCAAGGATTCAGCATATGCAAACTGATGCAGAAAAAACTTATAACAGAATCTAACATCCATTCTTAACATACTAGACACAGAAAGAACATATTCCAACACAATGTTGCCATATAGGACAGCACACAGCTAACAACATACTCAATGGTGAAATGTTGAAAGGTTTTCCATTAACATCAAAACAAGACAAGGGTGCCCACTCTCCATGCCTTGCAAGCACTACTGAATGTCCTAGCTAAAACAAGTGGGCAAGAAAAAGAAAAGTATCAGAAGTGGAATGAAAGAAGTAAAACTGTCTCTATTTGCAAATAACAATTTTATATATAAAAATTCAACTCAAAACTGTTAGTCTAGAGACTTCCTGGTGGCATAATGGAAAGGCATCCCAGATTCATGGCTTAAAATGTTAATACTACCACAAGGCATCTATAGATTCAATTCTCATCATATTTTACAAAAATAGAAAAAAAATTCTTAAATCTTATATGGAACCACAAAAAGAGACCTGAAAAGCTAAAAGCTGTCCTGAGAAAGAACAAAACAGTAAGCATCACATTCCTGATTTCAAGTCATAGCACTTACAGTGATCAAAACAGCATTGTACTGGCATTAAAAACAAATAAACCAATTGAACAGTATTAAGATTTCACAAATAAGCCCAAGCATATACAGTAAAACTTTTTTAACAAGAGAACCAATAATATTCAGTGGAGAAAACTCAATAAATAGTGCTAAAATATACATGTAACTGAACTCAATCTAAGACTACCCATAAAAACTCAAAATGAATTAAAAATTTAAGTGTAAGACCTGAAACTAGGACCTCCTTGGTGACACAGGGGTTTAAGTCTCAGTGCTATCAAGCTATCACCAACCACTGCAGCAAAAGTTCAATCTCCAGCCAGGGAGTTAGAGAAGCAGAACTCTCCTGTCTCACCTGCTGCTCCCCTCAGCAATAAATTTCAATAGATCATCCTGTTCTGCTCCCCACTCTGTTTCTGATGAATCCACACACCCCTCTGGCAAACACCCCAGCTCTTGTATGTACAAGTAAATAAATCTTAAAAAAAAAAATAAAATAAAACTATTATGAGGTATCACCTAACACCTATTAAGATTAGCCATCATCAAGAACTAAAAAATCTAACATCACTGTCAGTGATGTGAAAGAATGGGAAGTCTTTTGTACTGTTGGTAGTACTGTAAACTGGTACAGCCATCATGGAAAACAGTCTGAAGACTCCTCAAAAAACTCAAGCTACAACTGCCATATGACACACTTTTGGGAATATACCCAGAGCAAACTAAAAATATTAACTCTACTAAAACCTGCACACCTATGTTTGCAGCATTATTTACAATAGTAAAATCTTGAAAAAAAACCTAAGTGTGCATGTACAGACGATAAAGTTGTGGTCTATTTGTGTGTATTTACACATAAATACACCAATACATATACACACACATACAACAGGACACTTCAGCTAAAAACAAGGAAGCCCTATCATTTTTTGGCAACATGGGTAGACCTTCAGGCTATTATGCTACTGAAATAAGACAAATAAATACTGTATGATCTCACTTATATGCGGAATCTAAAAGCAAAGCAAAATAAACTCAAATTCACAGGAGGTTAACTAGAAATGGAGGATGGACAGGGAAGAAATAGGAAAAATGTGATCAAAGGCACAAATCCAACTATAATATAGGTATTAGGAATAGTGACTATAGCTAACTCTGCTGTATTATATACAATAAAGTTAAGAGAGCAAGTCTTAAGAGTTTTCATCAGAAGAATTTTTTCTTTTTTTTTTTAAAGATTTATTTATGCATACAAGAACTGGGATAAGGGCCAGAGGTATGGAAGATAAGAGGATTAACCAGAGACAAGGTGGGGAGCAGAACCGGTGATCTACTAAAATACACTGCTGAGGGGAGCAGCACCTCCTTGTCACCTCCTTGGCCAAACTCATGCTGTGGTGGCTGCTGACAGCTTCAAAGTGCTGTTCTGCCCTCAGCGCCACCAGGGAGGGCAGGAATTTTTTCTTTTTTACTGTATCTATGGGGAGACAGTTGAATTTACTGTGGTAATCATCTCACGTACAAATCAAGTCATTATGTACTCCTTAAACTTCAACAACAATTCTATCAGTTATTTCTCAATAATTGGGGGAGGTGGTTCACATGTGCCCCATGCTTAGTTCTAGAGTTAGAAATCCAACTTACCACAGTGCTGATCTTCTTTTTTCCATCGGTAGCTCTTAACAGACACTTGTTGTCAGAGGGCTCAAACCCCTCCACAGAACCTTTCCTTGGAATAGGTTTTGTTCGACCATCATCTGCATGAAAAATACATCCTGGTGAACACAGTCCTGGTGAACACAGTCACAGACGTTGTTGACAGGTACACAAAATAAGTAGAGAAGGGATATGATGTGGGTAGCTTATCCACCTCCACTACTCTTAATTAACCTCATCACACATGGTTTGGCCAAACCTCAGGAAGCTACTCCACATATCCAAGACCGGAACACTGAAATATCGGGGAAGATAAGATAAATCTCCCACATGGTGGGATTGGAACGCTGACAAGAATAAAAATCCTGACATGCTTGGGGCCCCGTGTATGCGGAACTGGTTCCAACGGCTAAACGTTGGGGGACGGCACCCGCCAGAATCAACATTCTCCAGTCCCTCAGTCCTCAATGAAACCAGTAAGCCGCGGAGGGAGTGCAGTGGGGGGAGCCGCGGCACCGGAGTCAGACTCCACCCGTTCCTCCCAGATACTGGCAACTGGGCCGGGACTTTGCTGGGCCTCCCAGAGTCCTTCCAGCGTCGACCGTTGCTTACACTTCTTTAAGGTGATGAAAACGCTGCCCGACATCCGGCACTTCTGGAAAAGCCTGGTCAGCTCAGACAGGAACTAGAACACAACAAGCCCTGCCCCGTTAAGAAGCCTCAAATCCCCGCCCCACCGTTTCAAATCCCAATGCCTCCCACAGTGGGAGACTGAAGTCCCGCGCTAAGCCCCGAACAGTACCCTCCCCTTGGCTGGCGAGTTCTGGCAATACCTGCTCGCTCTCCAGCAGCACCATTATCGCGCGGCTGGTTCCGCTCAGTCAGCTTAAGCCCCTAGCAGTTGAGGCAGGAAGTTTCGTCCAGAATGGGCGGGACTTCCGCTTTAGGTTTCTTTCTTTTCCACCAATCCCTAAACCCCGCACGCCCTGCGCCTGCACCCTGGCGCGCCCCCTCCTGGGCGGGGAGATAGAGAGCTTTTGTGCTGTCCAAGAATGTCGCTAAAGAAGTCTCATTCCGGTATGAGGAAGTGAGAGGGCGAGAACGATTTGATAGTAACCTATAGTTGTGTATATTTGGCTAAACGTTGCGCATGTCACCTAACAGTACAGTGACTCAATTTTACTCATTCTTAAAGTGAGAATAACAGTACCCACTTCACAGTGTGGCTGTGATGAGTAAATGAATTCATACTAAACACCTAGTATTCTTGCCCCATATAGACGGTTCTCAAAAAGTGTTAAATGCTTGCGTGGTTTTTATTACCATTGTTGTTTTCATTTTTGTCCTAGTTATAAATTCCCACCACAGTCCCTCTTCTCAGACCTGAGTCCCTACCGACCCCTAGCAAGAGGGCCAGGGTAGTTCTTAGTTTCACTTGTGGATTCACTCGGGAGACCTGACTTCTAGATACTGTTCTTCCACTGGCCAACTAGAACCCAAGGCCTATGGAAAGTCAAGCAGTCAATCATGCAAGGTGGTTTTACTTGCCTTTGTCAAGCATTATTGTTGGGGATACGGGGTTACAAGACATGCTTAGATTAAAGGAGTAGGGAGGAAATAAACAGGAGAGAAGTATAGCTTCTTATAATGAGTGCTGCAAAGATGACCAAACAGGATCATACAAAAGAGAATGACAGGAGATTATTTTAAGTTGCAGTTGGAGACTGCAAAATTCTCTAAGGAGAATTTTGAGTAGAAACCTAAAGATCTGAGGACAGACTGTTTCTAACACAGGGAATACCCAGGCCAAGACCCCAAAGGAGAAACAAGTTGCCTTGGGTTCATAGATTAGGGGATGAGGGAGGAAGTGCTAAGAGCATATGGAAGAAGTCAAGGAGCATTGAGGAGTTAGAGAAGGTGGTGCCCAGCTTAAATAGAGCCTATGGCCATAATAAATTTACATTTTGTCTACATACAAGGAGAAGTTTCTTGATAAGAGAGTTTTAAGGGGGGGCCTCCCTGGTGGCAGAAAGAGTTATGGGCAGTCATTGCAGCATAAGTTTCATCTCCTGGTGGCTAGGGAGCTGACCCACATGGTGCAGCAGATCTCTCCTGTCTTTCCGACTGCTCCCCTTAGCAGTGTATTACCTGCCTGTTCTGCTCCCTACTCTGTCTCTGGTGAGTCCTCTCACCCCCTCCCACCCCTGCACCTCTGGCTTGTACCCCAGTTCTTATACACATAAGTAATAAAAAGAAATCTTAAAAAAAAATGTTATAAGTGACAATCTAATCCCCCTGTCTGTGGTGTGGAGTGTGTGCTGTAGAAAAACAAAGCAGGAAATTAAGAGACCAGTTAGAAGACTGTACAAGCTTCCTCTAGGTGTAAGAAATCATCACAAACTAAATGACTTAAAACAACATAAATTTAGGCAGAAGTCCTTCTGCCCACCCATGCCTATGCAGGCTCTCCTTTCTACAAACTCTTCCTCTGCAGGACAGCAGCCTCCTGCCTGCCTGTGCCTGTGACCTGTATCACTCACCTCCGTCAGAGGAGGCAGCTCTTCTCAAGGCCGCCTACCTGCAACCGTGAGGTCTCTCTCAACAAATCTGCCCCTTTTGGGGCAGCTACTCCTGCCCGCTTGTGTCCATGCAAGTGGTCTTTGCTCCTCTGTACTTTTCCCTAATAAACCTGCTCTTTAAATATAACTAAGTCTCTATCTCGTAGGGAAAAAACACAAAAACAAAACAAACAGAAATTTATTCTTTCACAAGTTTGGAGGTTAGGGATCTAAAATAAAATGTGTTTGCAGGGCTGCATTCCATCTGGAATCTACAAGAGATAATCTATTCCTTTTCTTTGTAGAATTCACCTGTATTCCCTGATTCATAGTCCCCTCCCTACTTCATTACTTCTTGCTTCCTTTGTCACATCTCCTACTACAACTGATCCTCCTGCCTTACTTTTATGAGAAACTTGTGTTTATATTGGGCCTACATGGATAATCCAGGATAGTGTCCCTACCTCAATATCTTTAAAGTAATTACATTTATACCATCCTTTAAACATATAAGATAACATAATCACAAGTTCCAGGTATTGGGGTATAGACATCTTTTGGAGGCATCCAGCCAACAGAGGTTGTTGTAGATGTCCAGATACTACCATATTTGTGATCAGATTTAGGGCATATTTTATAAATAGAGCTAATCGGACTCATGTTCAATTGGAAGTGAATATTGCAAGGAAAGGACTAATAAGTTTTAGCTTGAGCAACTGGATGAACAGTTGTACCATTAACTAAAATAGGAAAGGTTTTATAAGAAAAGGAAATTACTTTTTTCTTTCTTTATTTCTTTTTTTTTTGGTGAAATCATGAAATACCTCAAGTGCCTAGTACAAGTTCAAGCAGAACTATCAAGTGAGCAAGTGACAAATTCAGAGCTCATTAGAGAGGTTGGTAAAATAAAAGTTCATCTCATCAGCATTAGTACTCAATGTGGAAACATCTCACTGCTTCCCATGGAGTCAGTCACTCCTCAATTCAACCCAAGAATCAACAGTCATACCAACTACCCTCAAGGCTCTCCTATGACAAAATAAACCAGTGGGTAGAAAAACCCAGCTGGCCAGTTTTAGCATTATACTTGGGCCAGTATAATTCCAACTACTGTTCTTTGGGTTCTATTTTTCAGTGGAAGCAATTTAGACTAACTGTTCTGAGGTTGAATGGGTCTGGCTTCAGATCTTACCTCTGCTACTTACTAATTATGTGACCTCAGGCAAACTTTCAAAGCCTACATCTCTCCATTAGCAAGATGATAATAATAATACTTATCTTAAATATGTTATAAAGATTTGGGCATGAGATATATTTGGGCCCATTATGTTGGCTCTAATAAATTAAACATAAATTAATATAAATTAAATTAAATTTAAGAAAAAATTTATTTAGTTACGTTAGCCACATTTAAAAGATTTAATAACCACATGTGGCTTGTAAAGTGCAGAAAAAGAGCATTTTCATCATCAGATTCTATGGGACAGTACTAGATAGCCCTGGAGTTCAATAAATAGCATTATTATTTATATACCAGCCATCTTCCACCATTAGACACCACTATCTCAACTTCTGTCATTTTCCTAATACCACCTATACAGGTTTTCACAACGCAATTGTGGAAGTATGTGGAGTGTGTGGAAGCTTCCGCACTCCAACAAATAATGCTGGAGCACCAGCTGGTTGTCCCAGAATCCAACTCAATGATAACACTCTCTCCCTGGAGTAGCATCAAATTCTACAGGGTAAGGGTTCAGTCTCCCAAGGGTGCCCTCCTGTTCAGATGCAGGCCATGAACCTGGGCTTCTAACTGACTGGCTATAAATAGAGGGTTCCACTCCTATCAAATAAGAAGGAGGAGTGCCCTGAAACCCCAAACCTGCTTTTTTTTTTAAAAAAAGATTTATTTATTTACACATACAGAATTAGGGTACAGGCCAGTGATGCAGGGGCGGTGAGAGGCTTCACCCAAGACAGAGTGGGGAGCAAAACTGGCTGACTATCGAAGTACACTGCTGAGGAGAGCAGCGGGCAGGCCAGGAAAGGTCTGCTGCACCATGTGGATCACCTCCAGGGCAGGGATCAAACTCATGCTGAAGTGGCTTTAGCTTCTTAATGCTGTGCTTTAACCACTGCACCATCAGGGAGGGCTCCCAAACCTGTCTACAAACATACTCTAGTACGTAAGACCTTCAGTGGAAAGAAATTTTAATACGACTAGTGTACAATAGAAAGAGAAAGAATATAGTTTCCAATTAAACACCCAAATTTTACCAATGCCACACACCGCCCTGTGCCCCCCTTCAGGTAACTGCTCAGGGCTTCAACAGCCCTGCTTCAGCCCCAAAGCCTGCACAAGTGCCTTCTGCTAGGTCAAAAAGGGCCAGGCAAATCTGGAAGGAAAGGAGCAAAATCAAAACAATTCAAAGATAAAGGCTGCCTTTATCGGTCTCCTCACTCATGTCTCTGTCTCTTTTAAGTGTCCTCTTCCATGATCACAAGTCCAAGGCCAAAAAGCAAGGGCAGGTTCTTGACATTTCTCGCTATTTCATGTGTCTCCTACCTGTTCCCTTCTTGATCGCCTTCCTTCTCCCTGTCTTCTATAGAATGTCCTCCCTGTCCAGCTCCACCCTTCTTTGGGGTGGGTCAGGAAACCTAGAACTTCCCTTTTCTCTGTGGACTACTCTGTTACACTGGGACCCTCCCCCCTCTTCAATTTCCAGAGCAGTTCACAGAACTCAGGAAAACTGTTTACTCATTAGGCCACTGATTTATTACAAAGGCTAGAATTCAGGAACAGTAACAGAAGGCATGTGGTGCTTTCTTCAGGTGCATGATGCTTTTCAGATCTCTGCGTGTTCCCTAACCCAAGAAGCTCTTCCTGTGGGTTTTAGGAAGGCTTCATTACAGGCAGTATTAAATCACTGACCATTGAGGATTGAATTCAACCTCCAGCTCCTCTCCCCTATGAAGATCTGAGGGTGGTACTGGAAGTTCCAACCCTCTAATAACAGGCTTCCCTAGCAACAAGTCACTCACCAAAAGTTACCTTCATTAACATAACAAAGGATCATAACAGACTCAACACTTAGAAAATTCTAAGGACTTTGAAAATTTCGAGTCAGGAACTAAATATAGGGGCCCTCTCTGGTGGCGCAACGAGTTAAAGCACAGTACAATGAAGCTATCCAAAGCCAGTGCACATTGAGTTTGATTCCGGGCCAGGGAGGTGACCCCCACATGGTGCGGCAGACCTCTCCTGACCCACCCACTGCTCCCCTCAGCAGAGTGTTCTGCTTCTCATTCTGTCTCTGATGAATCCTCTCACATACACACACACCCCACCATCCCCCCTTCTCCCCCACCACCACCACATCTCTGGCCT